CATTTGTAAAAGGAAACCACAGCACATATCTCATGCAGTGAAAGGCTAACTCTGCATGTCTAGATTATTTATACCCTCATATTAAAAAGCTTGGCCTCTGAGGTCATTCCTAAGTCCCTGGAACTGTCTGGGGTCATGCCAGTCCCCCTGTGCTAACAATGCTTTATTGGAGGGACCGTGAGCCCTGGGTTGATTGCTCAAAGTGAGACTGAGTGATGCAGGTCTGCCTTGGTTTGCGACTGACTCCAATAAAAACTGTACCTCTGGGTCTCTGGTGGCTGGTGAGACTCGATGTATGTGACACACACAATTTCTGGGAGAAGACACTGGAAGAGGACTTCTGATGGCTGGTCGTCTCTTGGACTCTGCTCCACATGTCTTTCCTTTGTCAATTTTAATTTCTATTTTTCTGCTATAACCATTAGTAAAACAGCTCCGTCACCCTGTGAGTTCTCTTGGCAATCCAATGAAACACAAGGGATGTCTTGGGGACCCCTAAACATTATCTTATTATAGTGTGTAGATGCAATGTGCTACCTTATGCCAGGCTATTTACCAGGCTGGTACGCATGCTATAATAAAGCACAGTACATGTTGGTCAGTATCAAACCATTAATGAAGCAGTGTATGAGACCTTTATTCTTGTTGTGTGACCCCTCTAGTACTTATAGGCTATTTGCAGATGAGTTTATATTCTAACTATTGAATGAATTTTTGAGTATTACCAACTGTTCTAAGATCTAGAGATTCAGTAGTAAACAAACTGGACAAAAGTACTTGTCTTTTATTTATTTTTTAAAAAATCCTTGTCTTCATAGTTTTATTCTAGCAAGAGGAGACAGAGAAATAACAACTGAATGTATTTAGGAGGCTATACCTAATCTAATCTCAAGATATGAAATACAAAATTCTCAGAATTAAAACTTTTGAGTTTACCTGGAAAATTAGTCATTAGCAGTTTGGAGGCAGTGGCTGAAGACTACTTGCAAAGCAAACACACACTTTTTTCTTTCACTTCCTTAATTATTAGCCATCGAAAAGATCTCAAGCTGTGGTTTTAAACTTTAGCTCAAGAGGATGTGACATCCACTAAGTGTGCAGAGATGCCCAGGGTACAGGCAATGTCCAGATCATGGCTGAAGGGCTGGAAAACCTCAAGGCTGCAAACTAAAGGAGGTACCCACCTAAAGAGCAACAAAGACCTCCTCCTCTACAAAGTAGGTCAACACAACCCATTCTGTTTGTACAACAGTAATGCAGGGATGCCTACAGGAATGGAAAACAGCAGAATTCTCGGCTCCTAACTGCTGCCCATTAAAAACATTTTTTTTCTCTTGGGACAGTCAGGGATATAGCCATTTTTGGAATGAACCTTATTCACTTGGGCTTGGAGATACCCTACAAGTAACTAAAAGAACAAAGTCTGACTTCCACCTTGTATTCTTTGTAGCTGTAAAACCTGAGTCAAGTTCTTTTTGGCCAGAACTGCCATCTTCTAGTAATTTACCAAAATGATTAACATGAAGGGAAAGAGGAAGGGAGCCCAGTGTATGTTCTCTAAGCCTTTTAGAAAACATGGGGTTGTTTATTCGGCTACATACACGCAAATCTACAGCAAGGGTGACATTGTAGACATCAAGGGAACCGGTACTGGGTACTGTGCAAAAAGGACTGCCTCACAAATGTTACCATGGCAGAACAGGAAGAGTCTACAATGTTGCCCACATGCTACTGGCACTGTTGTAAGCAGGCAAGTTAAGAGCAAGATGCTTGGCAATAAGGGTAAACTGAGTGCAAATTGAGCATATTAAACACTCAAAGAGTTGAGACAGCTTCCTGAAACGTGTCAAGGAAAATGATCAGAAAAAAGAGAAAGCTAAAGGGAAAGGTCACCTGGGGTCAATGAAAGTGCTATCTTGCCCTGCCCTGAACAGCACACTGTGAGAATCAGTAGGAAGGAGCTGAGTTGTTGGAACCTATTCCCTACGAATTCATGGCATAAGCTGGGGCTGTAGCTCTGCCATTCAGCACCTAGTTGGTGGCTAAGTGTTCTAGGCCCTACTTAAAAATAAAAAATCATCCTATATTGTAGCATGGTCTTCTTAGTTGAAAACAACCTCCTCAACCAAAAAGACAAAAGAAAACAAGTCAAATTCTTTCTCAGCTCTCCACATAGATAAGCTAATCATACAGAGTGTGTCTAAAAACAAGCAAGGCTGATTAGTCCTGAATTTACATGATTTCAACCCCTTCAAGACTGAAGACACCAGGATGGGTATTTCCAGGGACTTCCCACTATATCTGAGAAGACCCCTGCCATAGTCCTGGACTTGCAATCACCTGGGAAAAAAACCCATCTCCTAGCCATAAATATTCTAGATCTGTAATACCAAGATTGAGACAACCATCAACAGGACCTCAGTCCACTAGCTGCTCCTCGAAATCTGGCCTCCCACCTTTCCACTTGGGCCCTTCTGAATGCTTGTTTCAGAGCGTGCTACTCAGCTATGTAAGTTGGAGTCTTTCCCCATCTTTTCAATTTGCAGTTAAACATCTTTCTGTAAATTTGTGCTTTAAGTTTAATTTCTATTATTATTAAAAGCAAAGGGGGATGGGGAGATAGCTTGGTAGTATAAGTGCCAGCCTGGTAAGTGCAAGGACCCAGGTTCAATCCCTGGTACTGCATACCCTGCTAGCCCTGGAACCCCAGGTGTGCCATGCTGGCCACCGACACCAGGCATGGTGACACACACCCGTAATCCTAGAGCTAGAGAGGCTGAGAAAGGAGGATCACTACAAGTCTGAACTGCATGGTGAGACCCTGTATCAAATAAATAATTTTTTTTAAAAGCACATTTAAGCTAGCTGGTGACATATCCAAAACTGTGATTTTGAACCACTACAGATTTTTTAGTTCATACCTATCTATATAAACATTCCAGTATCAAAAAAAAACTCTGAAATCTGAAATACTTCTAGTCCTAGAACATTTTGGATCAGGGACACACAACCTGCTAGCTCATAAATTCAAGAGAGGGACATATAAAATGCTGGGAGAAAGGGAGAGAACTGCATTTTAGGCTGGATGGCCAGGGAAAATATCTGAGAACAGGATGTATGAAGAAAGACTTGAAGGAAATAAGAGAACCAGCATACCTTTTATTTTTTGTAGAGTTACAGTCCCATAATTTTAAAAAATCAATCCCTTTATTATTTTTTTAAAATTTAAACTTTTGAGACAGGACCTGGCTAAGCCACTAAGTTGCCCAGTATGGTCTAGAACCTGTGATTTTCCTGCCTCAGCCTCCCAGACTGTAGGTGTAGTAGCACAGGCCTAGAATACTAGTTTAGACTTACATCATGTTGATATAAAAAAGATTTTAGACATCATGTGACAGCAAAGCCAGCAGGATTTCCTTATAATATAGACACATAACGAGGAAAAAAAAGGAAATTCAAGGGTTGCAGCCTAAGCAATTAAAAAGTTTGGTGCTGCTATGACTAGAAAAGGAGATTATAGAAGGAGCATGTCTATGATAGCAGAGAGGATTCAGTTTTTAATGTGTTATGTTTAAAATGCCTCCTCAGCCAAGTAGAAAAACCAAGGCAGCACAACATTTAGTATAAAGGTCTATAGTTAAGAAATTTGGGCAACAGATATGAAGAGTTTAGTGCACAGGTTGTATTTGGCGCCATGAGGCTTGATGAGCCCCCCCCCGGGAGCAAACCTAGGCACAAGTAAGGACAAAGTCATAGTGTATGCTTAGTCACTCCAGACTCTTATGCAGAGGGAGATCAGCAGAAACCAGCAAAACTAACTGGGAGGCGGCAGACAGAAAGGTAGAGAGTGAACCAGGCAAGTGTGGTTTTTTTCCTGGAATAAAAAATGTTCCAAGGAAAGAGCAGTCAGCTATGCCAAGTACTGGTGACAGGCTAAGATCAGGACGGGGATGTGTCCATCACGACCAGCAACAAGGATACCTGTGCAGAGGATGAGGGGCAGTTTGGGTGGAGAGAGAACATATGGCAGTGACTGTCATTGCTAGGTTTTCCTTTCCTGAAAACCAGAGGAGAGAAAATGGAGATCAAGTGTTTAGACAGGCTTTTGAGAAAGTGGGTAGCAGCAGAAAAGAGCAATGGGCCACAAGTTTTAAAAATCTGTCTGAAGATGGCGGAAAAGCATGTTCAAATGTCAGTGAGTGTGATTCAATAGTAACTCCAGCAGTATTCTAGGTCAGAAGAGACAGAAGCTAGCCAGGTAGTGAGAACTACTACCAACTGAACATCCATTATTCTAGAAGAGAGCTGGAGTTCCAGGCAGATGAGGGGTGCCAAGTGTGCAGATGCAGTGTGTGGTATACTTTTTAATTGTTTTACTTTTCTTGGTGAAGTAGGAAATGAATTTTTTAGTTGCGAGGATCAACGAGTAGGAACTGAAGGCAGAAGGGGAAAGAAGTACAATAATAGTTGTTTAGGAATCGATTATGCAAAAGATTTAGTAAGCATGCATGTTATTGGACAGAAAATTTGAATACGAACACCACAACACTCCCCCATATCAGCAGCCAATGGTACATCCTTTCCCAGGTGAGATTTGGCTCCAGTTCCTCTGACCGTGCCTCTGTTGTGAGATAACCGATGATGCACTCATGGCCCTTGGTGCTACAATATTGAAGAATTCCAAGGAAGAGCAAGTAATATTCAGGATTCTGTGTTTAAAGAGGCAGGAAAATTTGTACCATTTTATTTGGAAAGGCTTATATAAATTTTCAGTCAAACTCAGGGTGCTAATTACTATATCCTGTGTCTCAGACAGGAGCAACCGTGTTCATACTGTGCTTGTAGAAAGTATCAAGGGATACAACCATGGTCAGAGTGATTTGTCTATTCCAGTAAGTACTTACACTTATCATCTGACAGTACTAGGAAGGTGAATGTCTGTTTTATTACTATTTAAAACCAAGAAACAAACAAAAAAAATGCAAAAGACTTCCTAGTACCTTTTCATCTGAGTCTGAACCTGTTACTTGTTCACTGAGGTTTCCAAGTTCTTCATTTGCAGAGGCCTCATTAGCAACTTCTAAAGAAACGTTTGTACCTTTGGAATCATGCTTTATCTCATTTGCTGAAAAGAAATAATAACCCAATATAGAAACTTTTAAGTGAAATAACCAAATCATTCAAAACTATTCTCTTTTTCCCCCCTATTTTTTAGGGAAGGGTCTACAGGCTGTTCAGAGTCTCACTACTAGATTGGACTCAGAGTGATCTGCTTGTTTACAGCCTCCCAAGAGCTGGAATTACAGGTGTACACCACCATGCCCAGTCTCAAATGCCGTTTTATCATGCCCCAGGGCAGGGTCGGCACAACAGGGCTGGGAATTGAACCCCTGGCCCTGAACCTGCTTGCAGGCACTTTAATCCACTGAGCTATTTGGCTGGCCCACATTCAAAACTACTGTTAAAAAAAAAAGGTGAGTACAGAGGGTCTTTAGGTCTAACATGACAAGCGTTTTCAGCAAGCTATGTAATTCTCCATTTGCTATCAAAATAACTTCATCACGTGGCATAAAAACAATAGGCAGTAAGATACTTAAGAATCTTTCTTGATGTACAGCTATTTAAAACTCTTTTAAAAACTCGAAAGTCAAAGTAAAACTTTCACATTACAACTCTAAGGATTCAGAAATGTAAACTTAATTGTTAAGTAAGACAGACTTAATGACAGACTTAAAAATGTGATAAAGCTGAAATATATACTTCAATTTTAAAATAAAGCCTACAAAATTGTGTAGGTCAATTATTTATCTTTTATAGATAAAGCATAACCAAGTTATGGTTAAATAATCCATTACAAACTATCTCAAAATATAATCTGAGAAAAACTGAAACTGTCAGACATAGTTAGCAGCCTCCAAAATGAAAAGCTTCCTCAATCAGTAAGTTCATTTTGGCTACAATAGAGATATGAAAAGACACTTATTTGCTTATTCTCAAAACATCACATTGTACCTGCTGGCAAGGAAGTGCAGATCTCCAACTTCATCAATCCAGGGTCCAATACAGCACATTCTCTGTTATGAGGCAAGCAGAGTTTAAACATTATAACAGGTAAGAACTGCCCACTTTGCTAAGCAATACCTAGCAGCTTTAGGAGCCAACTAATGTCAAGCTCTTCAGTATAGAGTAACATACTAGAACCCAGAACCAGCACATCTGCATACTTCCCAGCTGGTTTTTAGTCACATATGCTGCAACTGCTTGGCATATCACCACTCCAACATTGTTACTCACAAAGAACCTGACAAATAATCTTAAATCTTAAATCTAACAGGCTCAGCAAATGAAAACCAAATATACAGGAACCATTCAAACACAAATAGCTAAAATCTTTCACTGTAAAAATGTAGGGAAAAACTTAAACTACACAGAACAAAATAAACACAATCCCAACATCCTTATTTAATAAATGGATTTTAATAGATATACCCTATAGCTGTACAACTGTTCACTGTTTTAGGATTATTTCTAGTAAAGAAAGAAAAAGTAAACATTTTGTATTCACTATTATTTGAAATCTGGGGAAAAACAAGTATATTTTCTTCCCTAGAATCAAAAGTATACAGGATTTTGGGGCCAGCGAGATAGCTCAGTGGTCTAAAGTGTCTGCTTAGGCAAGCTTAGGCAGGCGCAGAGACCGCAGTTCAAGCCCCAGCACCACATGCTGTGCCAGCCCCCGCTCTCAGGGCAGGCTGAGCAGGCAAAACAGAACAGAACAAAACAAAACCAGAAAACACACACATACATACTTCTCCTTCACAACCCAGACAGCTCTAAGTTCCTGTCTAGGTGCCTACCAGACTTTGTATTTCAGTGTCTCAAAGGTTTCTCCAACTCAAAATATCTCAGTTCGACCTTCCTAACCCTGCCCTTCTGCATGAGAGAAATGATTACAATGATTACGTTCTACAAAAATAGAGAGGGCTGGCCAGATAGCTCAGTGGACTAAAGCGCCTGCTTAAGTCAGAGAGCAGTGGCTGGGGTTCAATCCTTGGTGTGCTGTGCCAGCCCCGTCCCCAGGGGTGTGCTGAGATGGCAACTGAGACTGGGTGTGGTGGCGCATGCCTGTAATCCCAGTGCTTGGGAGGCTGAAAACAGGAGGATCACGAGTCTGATCTACGAGTTTGATCTATGTAGAGACACCCTGTAGACCCTGCCCTAAATATATATAAAAAATAAAAATAAAAATAGAGAAATCAGGTATCTTTTTTATTTTATTTTAGGGAAGGGCCTATAGGGTGTCCAGAGTCTCACTACTAGATCAGACTCTAGCGATCCACCTGTTTACAGTCTCCCAAGAGCTGGGATTACAGGCATGTGACACCACACCCAGTCTCAATTGTCATCTCAGGGTGCCCCGGGGTGGGGCCGGCATGGCAGGCTCGGGGATCGAACCCTGGCCCCTGTGCCTGCTTGCAGGCACTTTTATCAGCTGAGCTATTTGGCCAGTCTCAGGTATCATTTTTAACTCCTCTCTCTGCCTCACTCTCTTCTGATTAATCTGTCTCCATTTCTTAAATGTCTCAAACCCGTTTCCACTTGTTTGAAGTCACCATGCCCTTTTCATCTAATTATTACATCAGCTCCCTGTCCTCCACATAAGAGCTATGATTTTTAGATTTATTTATTTATTTATTTATTGGAACTGGGGATTGAACTCAGGGTCCTGCGCTTGCCAGGGAAGTGCTTATTCCCCTGAGGCATCTCCCCAGCCCCATGATTTTTGGTTTTAAAGGGTTTTTTTCACAAAAAAATAAAGCATATAGTCTTTAATACTTATTGAATGTTGATAAAGCATACAAATTTTGGACATTGAATTTTTTGTGTGTAGTATGTAAAAAATATCAAAAATAAATTCTCACATGAACTACAGTCAAAATACCAACAGCACTCTACAAATTAATCTTTACTTCAATTGCCTCATGTAAGACAGTCTGCACACATCACAATGGCACATTCCATACACATATCACTTGCACTAGCAGATCATGTCTTTTTGTTTTTAAGTTTTAAGATTTTTAAAAAATATTTTATTTATTTGGCATAGGGTCTTACTATGCAGCTCAGACTTGTGGTGCTCCTCCTGTCTCAGCCTCCCCAGTGCTGGGATTACAGGTGTTTGCCACCATGCCCGATTTCAGTGGCCAGTATGGTGTGCTCAGGGTTCTGGGCTGGCACAATATGTGGTACCAGTGATCCCACCTGGGTCATTGCACTTTCCAGGCAATGCTTAGATCGCTGAGCTATTTCCACAGACCATAATGATTTTTAAAGCATAAATTCAAGCTGGATGTGGTTGCACCTGCTTGTAATTCCAGCACTCTGGAGGCTGAGGCAAGAATACTGCTGTGAGTCCGAGGCAAGTCTGAACTACACAGTGAGACCTTGTCTCCAGAACAGAAATGTAAGGTGGGCGAGGAGAGATGGTGTACACCTGGATTTTCAGCTATTTGGAAGCTGAAGTAGGAGAATACAAAGCTTGAGGCTGGGCTCCATCAAGACGTGTCTCAAAGGGGTTGTGACATAGCTCAGCGGTGTCACTGGTAAAGAATCTTGGGTGCAATTTTCAGTAAGGGTGGGAGATGTCGGGGAGAATGAAGTCAAGCAGTTGAGCAAATAAGAGATGTAAACTATATCACCATGAAATTAGCGTCAGAATTGAGGAAACCTAAGATGCGATGAACGTCTGCACCAAGGAGTCAGGAACCTCCAAATCCTCTGCTCCATACTTCAGCCCATATGAACCTTCACCTTTTGCCCACAAATTCATTATTTCTCCTCCCCATCAAACTTCTTTCTTTTCCTGTGTTAATCTAAACTAGTCCAAACTTCCAGGATCAACACAAGTTTTTCCTTTTCTGAAATGACTTCTCAACCCTAAGTTTATAAATTGTTTTAAACACAGCACCCTCTCCCCCATAAGTCTCTAGAACTTCTGGTATGTTCATAAAATGCTAACAATTTCCAGTATCATTCAACTGGTACTTGAGCATGTATGTCTTAGTGCACCCTTAACTGTTCCACACCAGCTTCTACAAACATTCTTAGACCATTTCCAATGATATTTATAGGTTAAGTCAAAAGTTCTACCAATTTTAGCAACTACATTGCAAGCTTATCACTTTGAGTTTTAGTGAACGAATTTTAATATATTTTGAATGTCCTGGAGTTTAGTATGGACAATTCCTCCTGTGGAAACTTCACGGCTCATGCTCAGATCCAGATTTCATAACCGTGAGACAATGTGCAAGTGACAACTTGTCACCTTCATTTGTCATCTTCAGAATGGTCACTGCCTAACAAAAATACAGCTCTCAGTCCTCCATCTGGCATACAAAAAGTCTTCCATTTGGTGGTAAGTTGTAAGTTCTTACAGTACTAAGAATATCAACTATGATGTACCAAAGGTAACTAAAAATTTCTAAGTATCAAGTTCAAGTCTTAGTTATTAAGACTATGTCCAAATAGAAAGATAAAAAGGACAGGAACTAAGAAGAATATATGCAGTGTGTTATTTGTTGAAACTGTACTTCTGATTTGATTTGAAACTATCTCATTGCTGTTTATCAATAAAATTTTGGAAAAAAAAAAAAGGACAGGCAACTTAGCTCAGTAGTAAAGCTCTGGGTTTAACCCCCCCCATCACACACCCCCCCAATTTTATCTAATAAGTCAGTCACCAAAATGGATTCAATACATGGCACCATATAAAATAAGTAATCTGTCTATAACAAAGGTTAATGAACACATAAAAATAAGCTGGTGTTTGAAATGAGTAATCTCTAATTTAAAAAGCCATTTTATAAAGCAATTTTAGTTTAAAAACCAATCTGCTCCATCATATCTTCCAAGATGTCACATATTCCTTTAATTCTTAAATTTCACCATAATCACATTGCAGATTATTAGCAGTGATATGCTATATTTCACTTAAGGTGTTAAAAACAACAAAGATCTAATGATCACTGAATAAATTAGTGGTGGTGCTTTTGAAACTCCCCATAACCGTCTCTAAAGGCACACTCAAATATGCATACCTTAAGTCACGTGATTCTTTTTCTGGAAGTTCCATGTGCTTGGAATCAGCTACATGATGTTCTGCAGTGGCATTGGGCTCACAACTTCTTTTGGGGACTTCATGACTTCTTTTGGGGACTTGTGAAACAAATGAGATCTCCCCTTCACTGGAGACTCCAAAGAGGTCAGGATCATCTTGAATTACATCAATTAAAAGGACATCATCTTCATAAGCTTTAAGAATGTCTGGAAACTCCACTTTGATTTCTGAAATGCGTTTAGTCATTTTTGTACCACTTCTCTCAGAGAAAATTGGGTCAAATGTTTGGTCTTTAGAGCAGAGAGAACTTTCCTTTACACAGCTAGGCTTATAAGACAAAACATTATTTCCAATTGTGAGAGAAACAGGTTCTTTACTAGGAATAACATTTCTTCGCTCAGGGATGTGATTGAATGGTTTACTGTCATCACCTTGCTTTGTAAATCTTGGAGAAATACTACAGGGATTTTTACTGTAGAGTGAGTTAGAACGAGCTTGCCCTGAAGCGACACCATTTTGTATGCTAAAAGACTGAGGTCTTGGTGTTGCTGAGGAGGCACATTCTTTGTTCTTATTCTGCCTTAACTCTGCTCCAGATAAACTGTCAAGGAGTTCTAGTGGACTATATGCTTCTCTTTCTGATGACTTGGCATTTAGGTTTTTTTCTGTCTTATTTTTAAGTAAAGGAATTTTAAAATTAGGCAGCCGTCCTGTGTTTAATATTTTACCCAAGTCTGGAGCTACAAGTGCTTGCTTAGCAATGCAGGCTTTTTTATGAGTAGTTTTGTTTGCAGAGCTATTTGCCTCTTGGCCATCTTGGTAAGCCACAGTCAAATTAAGTTTTGTTACATTCCCTCTTGTTTTTTTACTTCCTGGTAAACTTTGAGTCACATTAGTTACTTGGGTATCCTCAATACTTTTAGAAACTACCTCTGACCCGCTTCTGCTAAGTTCCTCTGACTTTATCTTTTTATCATAAATTATAGGGTCCTTTATAGCCACCAATGTAGATTCTTCAGCTGAAACTGAAGATGAGCAATCTAAATTAGAATCCAAATTTTCCTTATTTGAGTGTTCAATGTTTTTTTCCATTAAGGAGCTTTGTAGCAATTTGGAGTCAGAAAACTGAGTCTGCTTTGTTTGATGTTCAAGAAAATTATCTTGCCTAAAATTTCCCTGGGATCCAGGAAGTGAGTAATTTGAGTTTGGCAAAATAGCCTTTTTCCAATAATAGGGAGATGTTCTAGCACATGAATATAAAGGCCAGCTTCTTTTACCAGTGATTGGTACTGTTCTGCGGCAGCTTAGCTTTGAGTCTTCAGGTTGTTTTCTCAAATGTTCTTGTGATCTGTTTTCAAGATGATAGCTATCACTGGGTGATTCCACTGTGACAGAGTTTGTCACTGTCTTAAAATACTCTTCTGGTTCTATACTTTGGCATTTCAAGGACTCTGAAGTTTTCCTTGTTTCTTCTTTCAAAAGTGGCTCAAGGATTTTTGGAAACATAGTATTTGCATGATGTCCAGCACTTGGTTCTTTTTCTTCTGTTTCTGGGAGAGTCGATAATTGATCCTTTGGAGAGGGTGTATTACAGTATTCTTTTCTCAAAATTTTTAAAGGACTTTTCTTAGCCTCTGTTATCTCTGCTTCTTTCCCCTCCATATTTATTTGGGTTTTTTTCAACACCAACTCAGACTCATTCCACAAGTTAGAGAAATTCTTCTCCAGTGTTTCTTTTATTTCAGGTAACTTCATCTTTTTTCTGGGTTTTCTCCTGACATTGTTCTCCTCTACAGAATATTTATTTTTTTCACTTGGAAGGTAGGAAAGTGAGCCATTCCTTTTACTTTGATATAAGTTACTGTTTTCAAGCGGTAATTTATTTATTCCCATTACACTTCCTTCCGTTTCTAGGAGCTTAGGAATACTGTTTGTGTCACTCTTCTCAGCAGGTCTCTTAAGGTTTTCTTTCTTTACCTTCAAGGAATTTTCTACTACATGTATACATCCACTGTCGGGTTCCTGTGCAAAGCTATTATTACAGACCTTGGAATAGGGGAAATAATTTCAATTACTTAATTTTAAAATGGAATTATCTTCTAAATCAGGTGTTAAGTTGTTACAAAAATATTTTGGAGTACAATTCATCTCAGAATTCAACCTTAGTATTTTGTGTTGTCTCACATTTTCAGTTATTCCAGAAGGTGAGCTTTCTAAACTTAAACTTTTTTAAACTTCAATTTTTATTTTAATACTTTCTACCTAACCTTCCTTAGCCAGACTCAGAGAAAGTCATACTCTAAAATTCACCACATTCCACTGTGTGGAAAGATTCCAAAGTAGCTAATGATGCCTTTCTTACCAGGTCAATCCCTGGCTGCCCATCATCACTTGAGACTTCAGTAATTTTTCTTTTTTCTTTGACTGATAAAAACAAGAAAACATTTTATACAGAGAAGGAAAAAAACCAAACCAATATACCAGTTTATGTAAAAAATTGTGAAGTCATACAGTGTTACTTCCCTAATAGCTCTACAGAAATGTAAGTGCTAGGGGCTGGGGATACAGCTCAGTGGCAGAAGCACAAGGTCCTGAGTTCGAGTCCCAGGACAAAAAAAGCAAGAAAAAATACAAGTACTGATCAAAAACGCTGATATTTTTAAATTCTTAAAGATTTATAGTAAGACAATGCCATTAATTACGCCCCTTTATTTGAACACATCCTATTGTTTTAGTCATTTTCTATAGTAGTTCTGGAAGTTCTTTCACAAGTGTCTTTATGAGGCATTAAAAAAAATACAGTGACTGCTACAGTCTATTACCACCCAATGGAAAGATATACTTGTATAACCTTTTATTTATTCACCAGATCTGGCACCGTGCAATGTCTCACACTACTCTAAAGTTAAATGATCTTCTAAGGTTGATGTCTGAACTCATTCAGGACACTGAGGCAGCTTAAAGCAGAACTAAACGCACTTAGGAAAAAAGGACTTCCAGAACTGCTTTAGAAAGTGGCAAGAACAATGAAGTTAGTGCGTTTGAAGGGAGTGGGCAATGTGAGGGGGGAATTCATGGTAGTATGACTTCTCTATTGTAGTAGATTAATCCTGTTTTTACCAAACCGTGTATACATTTGTTTTTAACTGAGATCTAGTGTCTATTAGGGCACTACACACAGACCTTAATACAATGCTAAGGTAGCTGAAATCCTTAGCACCAGCATTTTACACCCAGCAGGAAACTCTTCGACAGTAATTGCAAACCTCTTGGGAGCAAATCCTTCCCACCTCCCCACCTTGGAATTAACTGAATTAACCTTGTGCTGGGACACCGCCTCCCACATGCACACTAAGTATACTGGGGAAAAAAGCCCGGGACCTCTGCGGACCCAGGGGCGAACTCTCCAGCCGCGGGGGTCGGGGTTCCGGTCACGTGCTCCCTGGTCCCGACGCCGCCCCGCCTTGTCACCTTCCACCTCAGGCCCCGAAGACGCCCGCGCCGCCGCTCTCCTCTTGCGCCCCGGCTCCTCGAGCCCCTTGGCCTTCGGGCCTCGGCCTCTCTCCTCGACTGGCCTGGGCGCAGGCCGGCGGCTACGCTTCCTCGGGCCTCGCATATCGCCATCCCGCCCCGGGGCCGTTGCGGCGTCAGTGGCACGCCGCCGCATGGAAGCCCTCAGGAGGCTGCAGCCGCCGACGCGCGAAGGCCACTCCCGCCCACAGACAGCCGAAGCCCGCCGCTTCCAAAGCGGAAGTGGAGCGCGGGGGTGGGGGAGGAGGGAGAGAGCGAGAGACCCCCGCCCCCCCGTGAGCCGGAAGCGGAAGTGGAGTGTGTGGAGGGGGGGAGGAGAGAGCTGCAAGCCGGAAGCGGAAGTGGAGCGCGAGGTGAGGGGCGAGGAGAGACCCGGAAGCGGAAGTGGAGCGGGCGGGGGGGGAGACCCGCGAGCCGGAAGCGGGAGTGGGCTCAGTGTAGGCCTGTGAGGCGTGGCGCGACGGTCCCAAGGCTGCCTCCCGCCAAGTGCTTTGCGCCTCGAGTGGAGCCTGCAAAGCTGATATTGCTGGAGCAACTCACAGCAGAGGCACTGGTGCCAAGCAGCAGCCCGCAGCTGCCTCCCCTTCCGGGTCGGGAAGCCCAGTGGTGGCCAGCGGCTCGTGGCTGCAGGCCTATGCGCCAGCCCCCCGCTCCCCCGCAGCTCTGTTCCCCAAAGCTTCACGCAGACATCCACGGGGCGCCACCTGGCTGGTCTCCGCTCAGGGTTGCTCGGTGGTGTCGGTGGGCTGGGCCAGAAGCTAGAGGCGCGGACGCCGTGATGTCTGCTTCGGCTCTGAATTCTGTTTGTCTGCAGCTTTGCCTCCTCCGTGTCATGACTATGGCTTTCACCTTTTCACCTTCAGACCTTGATGTATTGGACCAGCTTCCTACATTTTTATTTAAGACTCCATCTTTGTTGCCGTAGTCCAGCCTCACCTGTCAGACCCTGCCAGGGATGCGACACTCCCTAGTTTGATGAACATCTTCTACTCAAAATCTAGAACACAGTTCAAACTCAGAGTGTTATTTGAGATATACTGAGTGATGGGGTTCTTGGATGTTTAACCAGCTTTGTCTTACTGCCACTCAGGGGAAAATTTGTATTTAAGTGGAAAAGTAAGCACTGAAATCACCCAACTGTCTTGTTTCCGACTCAGGAAGCTCAACATCTATCTCTGTAGGTAGTGGGTGATAGAAATTCAGAATAAGGGTCCACACACACACACACACACACACACACACACACACGTTTTACCCTGTACAAGTTTTATTGACTTCACTTTGCCACTGTGGAAAAAGGTTCAAGCCCATATTCATTTAAGCTCCATATGCATTCCACACTTTGGCCTTCACTTCAATATTCCTGATTTGTTCTTCAGATTTATCCTTTGAACCAGTGGTTATAAAATCTGCCTAATGAGAGAAATAGAATCTTTAACACATTTTATTTTTACCTCTATGTGAGTGCCATGGTTTTATCTTTTTGAGGACTATCTTTGAGCACTACAGATAGCTTGGAAATGGGCTGCACTGGACTACTGCTAGAGCTGCCCAGAGTTCATATCTGCTCTTGCTTTCTACATGGTAGTCTTCAAAAGCCTTCCTTTGCTTGTGTGTCTGGTGAGCTGAGTATTTCTTCTCTGATGTGGAGTGCAAGGCTCACCTCTTAAAGCATTTCTGTTAACCCATGAGACAGAAGAAAAGGGGTTAGTGGTCCTTAAGAGGTAGTTTATTTTTCCTCAGCTGCCTCAAACATCTTGCTTCCACCTCATAGTTGCTCTAGTGGATATTTGCTTTGGCTACATCAGGCTTCTGAGGCAGCCTTATCCCAGTGGACTGTACCCTGCAGTCTGAGTGAGTCTACCTTTCTGGAGGCCCCATCCTTGACCAGTTTGATAATGTGTATGCAGGAACCTCCTTTTCCCTTTATAAGCAATCTCCCCATAGCCATAGTGGTTTTAGTCCCTGTATCCTTTCTCTTGATGTTACAGTGTAACAAAATGTATTAACAAAGTCCGTTCTAGATGGCATTTTTTGCCTCTTTGTGGTTTCTACCTTGGTTGAGCCTGAGATGATATGCCAGGATCTAGTAACACCAAAGGCACTGGTGCCCCAAAGCAGCCAGCAGCTGAACTGGTGACACAATACAATTATCAGTGACAAGGCAGTGAAGAACTGCCCGTAGCTGCCATTTCCAGTGGCCAGGAATTTCTGAGGCACCCTGGTAGCTGCTTGCTCCACACAACAAGGAGGGCTGCTCATGCTAACAGTGTGGATAGAAGAGCTCGTAACTACTGGCATTCAAAGCCCAACACTCTGCAAAACACACCAAGGGAGCTATGCTGTGCAAATTTTTGATTTCTCAAATTGTGTAAGAATCCACATGTGATTAGTATTACCTTGAAAGCTGTCCCCTCTGGAGGGCCCTGATGAGGGTGGATGACTGTGACAGCATCAGCAGGCTCAAGGATCAGCCGGTGTCAGATTTCCATCAAAGTATGACTGAGAATCCACACTGTACACCTTGTTACACTTCAGAGGGGTCAGGTGTTCCTCCTTGCGGGCTACTACACAGCCTTTCCTCCACCTTTCTTTTTCTCACACTAGCCCTTTTATTTTCAGGGTCTTGCTAAGTTGCCCAGGTCAGTCTTGAGCTTTCAGTCCTTCTGCCAAGTACCTGAGATTACAGGTGTGACCACCAGGCTCAGCTTAACACACTATTTTAATTGTTTATTTGTAATTTGAATTGTTTACTTATATGTCATTAGGGCAGATACCTTCACTTAATCTTCATAAATCCATCAGCTTACTCTTTAAACACACTGAATGTGTTTTCTGCTTCAGAATGGGGGTTTAATGTATGCAGGAGAGGGGTAACTGGGGTTGGACGAGCAGCATCCTTAGGAGCTTCTCTGAAATAGTTTAGGTGAACAATGGTAAAGGATTCAAAAACTTTCTTCTTACCAATACTTTGAGCAAAAGATAAAGGTGAAATAGCAGAATTTCTTAAAAAATTAATTTAGCTATTTCTGGCTATAGTGTTGCCAAAATCAGGCTTCCCATCCCTGATGAATAACCCAGGTAAGCGCATCATCATAACCTACACACGAGAGGTGTTACCTCATGTCAACACAACTAGCATGAGACTAGCAACATATTGCTCAGCTGTGTCAACTTCAAAGTTAGGAATTTTTAAAGTAAAAAAAGTAAATGAAACTAGAGGCCTTATTTAGGTTTCTCCTTAGTTACATAGGCCCGTGCATGTTTATTTGGTGTCTCAAATGTTTATATCTCAGGGTAAGGGTAATAAAAGTCCTTTCCTGTCGAGTTCTCATTAGAATTCATTATGTTAATACTCCTGGTGTTAAACCACCAGAGCTCTTGAGATGGAGGAGTCTCTGAAATAAAAGGGTTTACTGAGCTTTTACACATGCCAGGCAAAAACAGGACCAGGTCCTAGGACAAGTTTCCAGAAATTACTGGGAGCTGAACTAAGTACTGTAGCACTTGGAAAATGTCATCAGGATTAGGGCTCAGGACATTCTTAAATAACAGAATGTTGAGAAGGAAAGTATAAGTTGCTCACATTGACCCAACACTGGCTACTGACAAGAGGGGTGGGGTTAGAAGTGGTAAAAGCTGCAGGATGGCGGGACGGGACCTGAGATGTCCTTGCTGCTTCTGGATCGCTGTGTGAGCAGTCTGGGTGTTTCTACGGACATGGGGCAGGGTGGGCTTGTGCTGGTGGTCGGTGTCAATGGGGTTTCCATGGAGGTTTCAACATACATTTAGGATGTGCCACAGTCTTCTGTCCTCGGCCCACAGCCTGTCAGCTGGTTAATCTTTCCCCTCTTCCCCTCTGGCCCTTGTTTATATGTCTTCTTGTGTTTACATTTAAGGCATCTCAGAACTTTCTTTGCATTAGTAATTAGAATAATGCCTAGAAAATTTCAAACACTCAGCTTATTAAATGAAAACATTGACAAATGTGGAAAGACAGACTACAGGGTTCTAGTATTTATTCCCTTTCAAATGAACATTGTAAAGTTTTAGTAAAATGAAGATAAAGTTCAAGAGTCCATCATTTTGGGTCTGAATAAAACAAATAGTCTTAAAGTCAACTACAGGCCCAAGAATTTAGAAATTTTTGTGAGCCATAACAGTTGAGCAGGGGGCCGGGAAGATGGCTCAGTGGAATAAGCGCAAGGCTTGAGTTCAATCCCTGGTTCTGCCAAAGAAACAAACAAACAAACAAACAAACAAAAAAAAAACAGTTGAGCAATACATAAAGGATTAAAACTTAGTAGTACAAGAAACTGCAAGAATCAAGCACATGGTGTTGTGAATAAGAAAACTACATTTCTTTTGTCCCAAAGTTCATACTTTGACAACCCGCCCCCGAGTGTACTTTACTAATGTCTTAGGTGTTTCTCAAGCCAATTAAGTTGACAGTCGAGATTAACCACCAGAGGTTGACAAACAACTTTTGATGTCATTCAGAGGCAACCACAACTTTCATCTGATGCATTCATGATGGAATGACACCACACCAGTTAGCCTCAGTTTGACACAAGGGTCTTTGGTAACCCTGGAGTTACCAACCAATATGAAGTCAGTGGAACTGAAATACGTACTTTTTGGCCTGAAAACTTGCAGAGACATCTCTCTGCATGGGGCCCTAAGTCACTTCTTTAATTACTTCCCTTTCCTGTGCACATTTTTTCTGCCAGCAAGAAATATGTCTGACCACCATCAGTTTCTCAAGAGAACTTGTTAGTAGTGCAAAATTTTAGGCCCAACCCCATACCTTCTGGATCAAATGCAAGCTCAAGTTTGAGAAACATGGTCTAAGATCTGGGGAACAAATCTCTTCCTGCATGCTTTGTGGGAATAGTGATCAGTCAATGTTTCCCAGGCACCTGGCCCCAAACTGTCTCCCTCTTGGCTGCTTGCAGAGCCAAGCCCCAAACCACAGAACAGGTCCACCCGACTTTGACCTGGGCAAGCAACCACAGAAATTCTGCTTTGTTAACCTTGAACCCAGGTAGCCCTGCCAAGATTAGCTCTCCCTTGGCTGTTCCAGCT